CTCCCAAACCTGGGAAATGGAGAGAGAGGAGAAGGAAGGAGAGGAGGAAAGACTAAAGGCAGAGGTAGTGGGGCAGTCAGGGAGAAGGAGTTAGTTCCTTCGCACGATGCAGCCTAATCCTGGGGTACATTTGCTCCCATCGCAGGTGGGACGGAAATGACAAAAGCGTGGTGCTGGCGAAGGCGTCTGAAGATGTCTGAAGACTTGCGTTTCCCTAAAGAACAATTAGCAATAAGGAGACCTCGCTGTGGCCAGGAGCCGAAGAGGAACAGCACGGAGAAGTCGTGGGAAGCTGCGTACGCGCCTCTTGGAATATCTGAGAGCCGTGGGCCCCAGAGACAGCCGCCCGTCCAGCTCCCAGGTGGATGTGCCCCTGGCCAGCATCCGGGTAGGAAAGCCTGGAGCGCAGTGCCCTTTATCTCTCTGGGAATGGGGTCCCTGGGCCCCTCCGTCCACTGTCTCCAGCTCCTTCTCTGAGCTCTTTTTCTAGGAATGGTCAAGCCCCGGTGAGGCGGCCAGAGCGCCCTGAAATATCGTTGCATCAGAAATCAATCAAACTCTTGGATCCAGGATGAGAACAAAAGTGGACCTGCAGGATAGCCACGCTTCAGGCTCATTTGCAGTTTGTGTCATTGATAACGCTTCTCTGGAGACTTTTCTTCTTCTTTTTTACCCTTCTCTTTAAAAAAAAAAAGACATTGGACTATCAAACTTTTCGTCTCTTCTTTTATCCTCATCTTCGAGGTCTAAGTCAATCGCCTCACAAGCACCCAGGGTGTCCTGGGTCCACGGAATGCTGCTTTTCTGAACAGAACGCGGATATCACTGGATACATTGCATCTCATGCTATTCAGATTATTTTGTTCAAGGCAATCTAAGTAAAACGCCTATGCTTAATCATAATGGAAAAGAAAATTACACTCCGAAAAGAACAGCTCTTGTTCATGAAACTCTAAACTCTGCTGAGATTCAAAGCGATGAGGAGTAAAAAAAAAATGAATAAAACCACACCCTGTAGGGGGGCTTCCTTGGTATTGAAACGCAAAGGGTGTTGTTTTATTTTGCCCTCCGCTTAAGCTGACCGAGGCACAGGGAGGTTGCAGCGGGTGCTGCTGGGCGCTCGCCGCTGCTCCGTGTGTCGGGGACGATCGCGGGGCCACCGCGGCTGGGGATGGACAAGGCCAGCAGCCGCGGGCCACAGCGCCCCCTCGCCGCGCGCCCGCACGAGTCCGGCCCCTCACCGCCTCTGTGCGTGGCCGGCCACCAGGAGAACGGGGCACGCCGACGTTCGGGGAGCTCCAGGCCGCCTTTGCAGCCAGCCTGGTTCCGGAGGCGTCCTGGACCCGGGCGCCCGCCTGCAGCATTTAGCTGGGCTGGTCGAAATGCACTGATCGCTGGGAAATAAAAGAAACTAGCCGATTAAACTCTCTTCTGTGTTTTTGTAAGTAAGCGGGGAAAGGGGGCCAGGCGACCCTGGAAGTATGGAGTGCCTGGATTTTCGTGGCGAGCAAACACATGCTTTCAAAACAGTAATTAGTTTCTTCTGGAGTGAGTGCCATGGCCTCTCATTTTCTTCCAGCCCAGTTCAAACGGTGCCTGCCTAGGGACTGACCCTTCACAGGCCATTGCAGATGCCCAAACACTTCCTCCACTCAGCCCAGCACAGAATATGCAAATCCCGGCCGCGGGGAAGGGCGGCTCCAGGATGGGTGGGGTCCCTGCTCTCAGCCAGGACCCCAGCCCCGCTCCCTGCAAACCAAGGCCTCCTCCGGCCCGCAGTCTCGACGCTGTTCCCTCCCATTGACTCCCCCACCCAAGGAAGACTCAAGTGAACTTTCAATTAAGAAGAAGAAAAGTGATTTTTTAAAAAAAATCAGGGTGCTGTAAAGCGAAACGGAGTTTATATATTCCAGTAACAATGCCGAGCGCGAGTTTTAATGTCCCTGAGTCGGCGTTTTAATTTGCTACAGTCACCACCAATAAAAACAGCATGTAGCACGATTCGACCGTTTAATAGTGCAAGGTAGACGGTTTTTATTAGTAACAGGCAGCAGGATGGAAAATTTAGATTTCGGTGGAGGAGTGTAATTGCTGGAGACGGGGGTACGGTTTACACACCTCCGGAAGAGATGGTCTCAGAATCAGGGAGCTGGGGAAGCCCAAGGGGCCAGGTATCTCCAGATGAGTCCCGGACAACAGAGGACCCGCCAAAGCCACGTGGCCTTGTCTGATTACATAGTTAATGGATGTCAAAATGCCATGTGTCCAGAGAAGAAGTTCTGATCCAAACTAGAGGTGTTTTTTGGTCATAACTTACTCTTTTCTCTTCTCACACACTCCTGTCCCAGGAGACCTGGAGTTGGGGGAGGAGGAAGGCTAAGACCAGCCCAAATGCAAACTACCCACAGCAGGGCGCAGCTTTGGAGATGTGGTGACCCCAGTCAGGCATCCTGCCTTGGGGCAAAAGTCACTCACCTCTTTTTCTCGTATAATACACTGACCGGACAGGATCCCCAGAATACGACCCTGGCCTGTCCCTGTATAAGCTTGTTGTTCAGTAAAAGCTCTGTGTTCTGGTCCAATCCCTCCCCACCTCCAAGACCGAAGGAGTCACAGAGCCCGGCGGCCAACTGCATCCCGCTGTCCTCTCTCCTGGCTTTCCTCCTCTTTTAAATGCTGCAACTGAAGACTGCAAGGATGGGGGGGGGGGGCGACTTGTTAGGAGGGTTAGGTAAGGATCTCAGCATTTGCTGAGCCTCCTTTCCAGGCTTTGAAGAGATTCCGAGGGTGTGGAGGGAGCGGCCCGTTTGCTGGCGATGCAGGAGGTGACCCCTGCGGGAAGTGGTATGGCTCTGAGTGTGTCGAGGAAGCCGTGTACCGCGGTGGTGTGTGGAGGGATGCGTTTTGCAAAGTGCTGGAGAGCAAATACGTAAGGGGGGGGTGCGGCCTGGGGGTGGCCAGATTGCAGTGGGATGCACTGGGCATGGATGGTGGAGGTCACCGGTCTGGGGCCTGGGACATCACGCCTACTGGACAGGCTAACTCAGAGGGTAGGCCTTTCATAAGCACAAAGCTGCACTTTGCTAGCAGTCCTTTGGACCCAGGGAGGAACAGGGTCACTCTGTCCCGTGAAGTGCGTGGATCCTCCTGCATGCACCACCAAGATGCCGGCCTCAGCCCCTCTCTCTCTGCGCTGCCGCCGCCGCTCTCCGCAGAAGTAGAGCGCTGAATACGCACAGCGGGGTCCGCGCGCCCATCTGAGCACCGTCCGGAGCCGCCCCAGGGGCAGTGTCACTGCATATGAGGGACCCAGGCCCCCAGGATCTGCATGGCGCGTCCCTCTCCTGGACCTTCACTGCGTGCGTGACCTCGGAAGACTTGGGAGGCACCTGTTGGGGAGAGCCCGCCCCGTTCCCGCCCATATTTCTCTACGCCTCTGCCTCCTGCAGGCCTCCCCGAGGACACCTGAACCCCAGAGCTGACCCCTTGGGCCTGCTCATTGGAGCCTCTTCGCTACCTGTTCCCTGGGAGGGCAGGTGGAAGAGTGATGGGGGGATTGTAAAGTTGGAATCTCCAAATCTGTCACTAAGGCTTAAGCTGCTGGGCCCTGAGAAGCGCTTCCTAAGCTAGATGTTATCTGAGCGACCGGGGTTGCTCAGCCTTGCCCCCCACCCCCGCGTCCCGCTGCCATCTCCTTCCTTCTGGAGGTTGTAGCGGGATGCACGTTCTGCTACAGACAGTGTGTCCAGTACCAGTCCTCCACTGGACTGTCAACACAAATCCAAAAAAAGGAATCATCTTACTAAAAATAAATGAAATAAAAGCCTTTAAGAAGGACGTCTTCCCGGGCGAAGCACAGTTGGTGGTGTGTTTAAATTCTTGCAGCAGCGAAGGGGCCCGGGGGTACCCCCTTTTCACTCACGGCATAGGCTCACCTTAAGGCGCTCCATGCAGTTCGAAGCGACGGCCCCCCTGGATTCGGGCCCGCAGGGAACACGCTTGGCGGCGCGGGGCCACTGGCCAGGCGACAGGACTCCAGGCGCATGGGGAAGTCTCCGGGCCGCGAGGTGGAGCAGGCCAAGGAAGGTGGATGCGAAAGCCACGTACGCCACCCCAAGGTGGACCTGGTCGAGTGCCACTGTCCAGAGTTCCCCGCTTTCCACTGGGCCCTGCCGGCCACTGAGCCTGGACGCCTCGGTCACCCGGGCCGCCCATTCGGGAGGCTAGGGGAGTGTGGACAAGTGTCACGCCAGGGGACCCACATGGGCCCCCACTCTGGGGTCCTTTCCCTTGTATGTGTAGGGAAGTGGCTGGGGCATGTGAGTGCTAAGTAGTCAGGAAGGTGGGGGCTGCAGGGGGGTAGCCAGAGCACCCCTATCTGAGCGGGACAGGGGTAAGGGCTGGAGAGAGGTG